CAGAATAGAAATAGAATAGAAATAGGAGAAGAGAGGATAGAATAGAATAGAACAGAACAGAATAGAAATAGAATAGAAATAGGAGAGGAGAGGATAGAAGAGAAGAGAACAGAACAGAATAGAAATAGAATAGAAATAGGAGAGGAGAGGATAGAACAGAACAGAACAGAACACTCCCTCCTCATCCTAGGGCACACAGGGAAGAATGGAGAAGGGAGCAATGTGGCTTACAAGGAAGGAAAGGGCCCTGATTCCCTTCACAAGGCACACCTGTGAAGGAGTTTAAAGGAGAGGCAGTTGTGGGGGGGGGGGCGTTTGTCGGGAACAAACACTGAACTCATCTGGTGTTGTGAGTTTTAGCCCACATTCCTGCCATTCCTCCTGTCTGTGTGAATTATTGCTGTGCTTCGATGTGCTTATCTTGCCTTGCTGGAATGATTGGACTCATTGTCTTGCCCTGCTGGAGCGCTTGATTGCAGTCAGTCTGCTTACAGCGTTTGGACTAGAGTATCTGCAACCAGAGGCTGTTGCAGGTTCGTGGGAGAGCTTTTCTGCTGGCCGGAGAGTGAACGGAACGTTGCGGGCAAAGTTGGAGCAAATAAAGGGACTCATACCTGTTCTCTGGCTGGGGTTGCCTTCGTGCCACACCCCAGGTCATCACAGAAGGATGGATAAAGGGACGGAGGGAGGGACAAGCCGTACTGATCCCAAAAGCTGCCGTTGACCACCACCTCATTCTCTGCTTTAATAGCCCCAGCATTCTGGATTGTGAGAAAGTGGAATGTTGGCCTACGAGCTTTCAAGATGTTGTGCCCCCGACCAGCGTAGACGAACAGGTTTTGCTGGACAATTTGAGCCTCCACACTTTGAATGGTAAGTTGTTGCCCCGTCTCACCTGAAGTTGTCACTTTTCATGTTGTTTGCTGAAGTTGTCCAGCCCGTGTCATCAGAAAAACAGTCGATTCATTCCAAAATAAAGGCTGCTGTCAGGATTCCGGCAGTTACCCATATTTAAATCATGAGTCTTGAGCCAAACTTCCAGAGCTTCAAAAGGATTTATTGGAAATGAAAAGGTCCAGCACCGCCTGGGTGTAGCCGACTCTGAGGCACATCATTCATTGTCACCCTTGACCCTGGTTTACCCCCCACCCTCTGGGTGTATCCTAATCCATATCCTCCAATGGGACACATCCATAGCCAAGAATCCTCAATCAGGCTCTCCAGTTAGAATTTTGCATGGCAGAAACTTCGGTCGCCTAGTTACTATCTTTGAAAACATTTATGGAATGCACTTTCGATTTTGCAAGCTACTGCACTGTTCCCCCCTCCCTTTCTGTTGCCATTGGCAACCTTAAAAAGACCAGAGAAATATTTTATGAGTTGACAGCAGGTCTTCTTTTGCACCAGGTCGGAGTCTGTAGCTCATGCCCTCCAGATGACTAGATTACAATTCCCATTTTCCCCAGCCATCACAGATGGAGAGTCAACAGCCGCTCAGGTCTGGAAGTGGCTGATGAGGAAGAACAAAAAAAATACAATCGCTAGGCAGCCAAAGCTTCTGGCGCTCAAGATTGTTATTGGAAAATATGATGGATGACTCTTGGCTATGGATGTGTCCCAGTGGGGAATATACATCTAGGCGGGGAAGACCAGGGTCAAAGGTGAAATGAATGACGTGTCTCAGAGTCGGCTACACCCAGGAAACACTGACATGTGAACTCCTAATAAATTTTTTATTCAGAGAGATGCGGCTAGAGACTTACGATTTGAATGGGGGTGGATTTGTCCGAGTCCTGACACTGGGTCCAAGTGCCCAACATGTGGCTGCGCAGAAGGCAGAGGAGAGGAGAGCGATGGAAATCTATAAGCCGGCCCTTGGGACAGAAGAGCCATCACTGCTAGCAAAGCCCCTCCCTTAGCTCTGGGGATCAAAGGGAGGGGAGTGAAATAATAGATGTGGCAGAGAACTATTCATCTCACGGACGGACAGACTTGTTAGCCCGCCGTGAGAGAGAAACTTCGTGCCAAGGCTGCCGGCGCTCCTAATAAAGGAATCTTTTGAGTTCACTTCAGAAGGTTTGTTGTGTTTGTGGAGCGGGGTCAGAACAAAACAGGAGCACTTGGAATAACCCACTCAGTCGCCTAAGAGCCTCCATTACATAAAGAACGGGGTTTGTGTGTCAAGGTGTGTTTTTGAGTTTATTGCTGTTCTCCGAGTGAGGCGGTAACTTCCCAATTATCAGTTACTTTAGTATAATCACTTCAGTTGCTCTCTCTCTCTCTCTCTCTCTCTGTGCTAATGCACAGCCTGCGTGACTTGGTATAATGGTTTATGAGCGCACGTTCACCATTTTTCTCCTTTTACGATTCAGGAGGGTGAACGTTGCCGGAGAGAAAAAGTGTACCTTACTGAGATAAATCCTTTCCTTTTTTTAAAAAAAAAATGATATTTTTTTTTTTAAAAAAATAATAGCAAATGGTTCATCCTGGCCTATCGCAGTCCATTTATTCTGCAGGAAAAACAATTTGGGTCCACCCAATTTCCCCTGGCTTTGTTTCTTGCAAAACAATTCCGTTTCTACTGATTTACTGTTTGCGAGTAAGGATTTAAGAGTGCATTTTTTTTTCTTCGGTTGAGATCACTTTGATACCCCCGCTCCTTCCTGGTTGGTGGCTGTTCTGACCAAGACTTCCTGAGACTGTAATTAAGCACACGCTTAGTCCAAACAACCCTTGTTTTATTTCAACGCTGGGAATTATGTGCATTCCCAGCCCATAATGAGTCCCAAACAGTCCCTCGAGATAAGCACCCACCTTTCCTTTGAAATGCTGCCAACAACTAAAGCGCCAAATTCATGGTAAAAAAAAAACAACTGAAGTACAAAATCCACGCAGAGCTTCAAGGTTTCAATCTGAACAGAGCGAATGACTTTGCTTCCTGAAAAGGTTTCTCTACCTTTGCCTGTCCTTTATCCCTTAGGGGAGGGACAATCACCTCCCAGTCTTACTCCTGAGTCGCCCCTTTTGTCTCAGCTGCTCTCGCCTTCTAGCAGCTCTGCGCACACGCGCACAGGGAACAGGCTCCCCTGGGTCCTCTTCCTCGCTACTCCCAGACTCCAGAGGCAGCACCTGTCTCCCAGATAGTCCTGGCCCCATCCCTGCATTGGACATAGGACCCTCGTCCGAGTTCTCCCCCCCCCCCAGACTTAGATGACCCTTCTGGTCTCTTCCAACTCTATCATTCACGGCTGGCTGAGGAACTCTGGGAGGTGAAGTCCACAAGTCTTAAAGTGGCCCGGCTTGGAGACCCCCGGCCTGGAGCATCATGTTAAAAGTCACCAGTCAAAGTGACAACAACCCTGAAAAATGTTAACTCTGCCCACTCTCAACCTTCCTAGCAGGTGTATCGTGTTCGGCCATCATGGCAGTCCACATCCTCGCTGCACTCCTGCTACACGTGCACCAAGAGGTAAGAATGGGAAGTAAAAGGGCCTTGGTGAAATTCCCACTTTCTCCCAGGAACCTGGTTAGGGTTAGGGACCTTGGAGATGAAAGGAAATGGCTTGCTCTGTGGGACCTCAGGAGAGTTGCTCTACCTCCTGAGCGTCTTCATCTGTACCTCCTCCCAAGGCTAAACACACTCGGCTGTCCTTCTAGGACTGTGGACTCTGTGCTTCCTTTCTTACCTCTGGCATCCTTGAGCCATCCTTCAAAGTGTGATGCCCCAAACTGGACCAGTCCTTGAAGGAAATGACCTATTTCTCACCTGACTTTGTGATCCCAGGAGTGGTTTAAAAACGACTTGGCTAAATTCCTTTGGTAGCTGCGACAAGGACAACAACATCTGCTCAGAACTTAGTTGCTTCACATTAAGGATTCTAGGGCAATCCATGGGGAACTGTCGGTTCTGTGAGCGTGGCTTGGTGGGAGTGCCGTGGCTTGTTGGGCGTGGCAGGGGAAGGATATACTGCAAAATCCCCATTCCCTCCCCGCCCCACTAACCTGCTTTCCAGCTCCGTTCTCCTGGGTAGGGCAACCAAAGGAAACCCAGCCAATCAGCTGGGACTCGATGGGAGTTAGAGAAGAGATGGGGTTGGCGGGGCCAGTCAGAGGTCCTATTTGCCGGTTCTCCAAACTACTCAACATTTCTGCTACCGGTTCTCTAGAACCGGTCCGAACCGGCTGAATACCCCACCTCTGGTCCCAAACCCATCAGATGATTGCAAGTTAAGCGGAGAAATGGCTAGACCTCTGTAACGGGTTTGTTTTCCTGCCTTTACTCTCTTTCTTGCGTACACCAGGGAGTTTTTCTTTCTCGACTGATGCAAGACTTCGTCTGGATCACCGACGAAATCCTGATGCGTAACTATGATGTGGGTTTTTCTGGCCGGGTACGTGACGTGCTGTGGCACGGCCTCTCCCTGCTGCGGGATTGCGTGACCCTCTACAGCCTCTCATTGGGAGACATCTTGGTGGTGCCCAAGAAGACCGAGGCGGCCCTCAGGGAGCTGGGTCACCACAGCACGGCCGTCTTGCCGGTCTTCATCCAGGAAGCTATCGGAGGTAAGTCCCCGGTTCTCATAGCCTACTCGGGTCTCTGGCTCATGGTCGATTGAGGTAACTATGATCAAAAGGCCCTGAAAATCAAGCTAAGTGACCTGGAATTCAGGAGAAACTAACCAGTGGAACTGCTTGCCACCAGAAGTTGTGAATGCTTCATCACTGGAGATGAAATTTCACGAAGAGACTGGACAGCCATTGGTCCAGAATGATTTAGGGTCTCCTGTTTAAGTAGGAGACTGGACTAGAAGACCTCCAAAGTCCCTTCCAGCTCTATTCTGATTGGTTGGTTGGTTGGTGGGTGGGTGGGTTTATCTGCAGCTGCCTTGCGAACAAGGAAAGGAAACACACCCTCTGGCTCAGGTGTGTGTTTGTGTGTCCGATGCTCAGAGAGTCAACAAAGACCTTTTCTTTCATTCCTCCTAAACTTGGATGGCACCTCTGTGGTGTCTTGCTAATTACATGAACGTGGTGGTGTAAAGAGGGGCTCACTCAGGGTTTACTCACCCACCTTCAATCTTTTTGGCAGCTTGTTCCATCAATGCTCTTCTGATGGAGGTGCTGCCGTATTTGGGAAGCCCTGAGCAGCTTGGGAATTTCGTCCTGGCCCACGAAGAACTCCATAACAAGTCTGTCCTGCTAGTTCAGCTGTTGCCCAAAGATTTCCTTCTGCGCCAGGTAGGAGATATTGGTCTTATTTGGCAGACGTTCTTCTGGGGGTGTGATGACCCAAAGGGGCGAGGCACAAAGGCAACAGAGTCAGATAAGCAATAAGAGTCCCTTTATTATCTCCAACTTTGCCCCCAATGTCCAGGTTACCTTCAGGCTGGAGAAAAACTCTCCCAGGAACAGCCTTCAACTGTAGAAAATGCCATCCAAAACAGGGTAAACACAAACTGTAACTTAAAATCCAAACAAGCCAAACTGACAGGGCAGGAGAAGGAATGTCAGACTTGAAAGCACAGCAAAACTCACACAGTTGGGAAGACGCCAGGAACACAGATAAGCTTCAAGGATACCAGATAAAGTCCTGTTTGCTCCCAACAACTTGCTGTGCGCAGCTTCCCTTTTTATACACTTGTGTTCTCAGTGGCAGCCAATGAAGGGAATCAGGGCCCTTTCCTCCCCCGTAAGCCATGCAACCCACGTTGCTCCCTTCTCCATTCTTCCCTGCGTGCCCTAGGATGAAGAGGGGATGGGCCTGGGTCTTCCTCTGAATTCCCTCTCCCTTGTTCTACCCCTTCCCTGCTCTGCCCAGCCGGATTTTGCCCTTCCCCAGTTCCCCCACAGCCAATGGAGCCACACCCCCACTCCCAGCCTCCCTCTCGGAATCAGATTATGACGGGGATTTGCTGTGTTGTGTCGTGTTCTTTCCTTTCTGGGTTGAAACGTTTTGCTGCTTATCTGAAGAAGCGTTTTTATTTTCATTTTCATTTTTTTTGAATAAGCAGTGAAACATTTCAAATAAAAAGGGGGAAAGAAGTCCAGGTGCCATCACGCAATCTAGATGGCGAGAATGTTCATCGACTTCCTGGGGATTTGCATCAAAACCATCATTCCCTCCCCCACAAACCTCATTTTAGCGTGTTTTACGATGTTCTGGTTACTCCGTAGTTTATGTTGTCCTGCAAATGCAGCCCATCGAGCTAAGGATTCAATGAACTTTCTGCTTTTCAAAGATAAAAACTGCAAATCAAAGGAAGGGATAATGTGTGTTATCTTGGCAAGAGATTCTCTGATATCTTGCAACAGCTTGCAAGCGTTCAAAAGTCGCGGGTTGCTCCGTCCCTGGAGGTTTTTAAGAAGAGACTGGACAGCCCCTTGTCTGGAATGGTATAGGATCTCCTGATTGAGCAAGGGGGGGCAGACTAGAAGACCTCCAAGGCCCCTTCCAACTCTGTTACGCTGCGGTTTCTGTAATGATCTTATAGTAATGAATCCATCGGTTGATAAATATAAAACCTTGGGGATGTGCAGTGATTGTATGAAAACCAGCCTTGAGTCAATTTTTAAAATACCATTGTAACTTTGATCCCTGAATAAATGGTTATAAGTTGAGGACTTAACTTGAGAGCTAGATACTCCTAATGCAGATTTTTTTTAAAAGATCCAAACGCCCATCTCTGCGTATTGGTTCCTTTTCGTCCCTCCCAACATACACCGAAGGGCTCTGATTGCTATTCATAGTAATATGCTTCCATCTGCAGTTTTAAAAAAGAAAATACAGTCCAAATTCTACGGCTTTACGACTTGTGGATTTCAGTCCCTCAAATTCTGGCTGCTCTTTTTTTCTTCTAAGGAATTCTGGGAGCCGGAAGTCCACAAGTTGTAAAGTTGCCAAGGTTGGAAAAAGTTCCCTTGAGTAGAGTAAGAGGGGCTCGTGGAGCTGGGAGAGTGTAGCAATTACTCTTGTTTTACAGCTCTGTGAATCGTTGTTTTTAGGAATTTGGGGAAGCGTTATTGTGTTTGCATCCTTCCTGAAGGACTCTGGAAACAGTTTCGCCTTTTTAAAGTAGGAAGAGATTTAGATTTGCCACTGCTCAGTAGGAGGAGGCAGGTTTTGTGAGTTAGAACAAAGGGGTGTCCGTGACTTGCGACCTCTCGGAGGAAGATGCCTGCTTTGAGTCATTGGGCTACGCCTCCGAGGAGGCTTGAATTATCAGCTATGGCTCTTAAGCTGCCTGTGACTAACAAATGCACATCTTCACTTGCAAGAAGGTTATTCATTACTTACAGTGCATTTTCAGGTGACAGTCATTACAACATCTCTAGAGATTCTCAAGTCCTCCAGAACATGGTTGTCCCAAAGGTGGTAGGTTTTTTTTCAGGAGTCAACTGGACTTGTTTTTTTCTTTTGAAGATGTTTCGCTTCTCATCCAAGAAGCTTCTTCAGCTCTGACTGGATAGTGGAGAAATGGAAGGATTTATATTCCTTGCAGACAGCTGGTCGTTTGCATCCTTTTGGAGGGTCGTGGAGGCCACTTGGAGTTGTGTCTGTGTCCTCAGGGTCACCTGAGTGGTGCAAATGGTTCCTGAGGTCTGGAATATTTTATTCCCTCTGGAAATCCGTTCCTATTCTCACCCCAGGCCAAGGGTGTTCACCCCAAATTGTATAGCTAAAAATCTGTAGTGATTCTCCTATAAACCTCCAAGGACAACAGTAGATTCTATGAAGTTGATCGGGCCTCTCCGACATAGATTTTATTTCCTCTTACACCCACACTTCTCTATTTGGGGGCCACCTTGGGGCATCTTGCTGACCCCTCTTAATTAGAGATTGTAGCCTTTTGTTGTTGTTCTGAACACGAAGGGATGGCAAGCATTGTAAATAAATCAGTCGAGGATCGCAGAGGTGGGAGATGCCCAGGATTTTTGAATCATCCATTCTCTTGCAAGGGAGGCACATTGGCCAGCTCAGGTTGTCACTCATGCCTTTTCATGCTTCCTCCCAGCCTTGCGAGTCTGTGCACTACTATTGTCAGCATGCTGTGGACAAGCTGGTGGAGTCTGGACTGCTGGTGGCCGAGGAGGTAAGGAAATCTCTTCTATCAGCTGTTGTGTGCCGGCGGTTAGTGCAGCTGACAGCAGAGTCAGACAGTGAGGAGGTTGGGGAGGAAGGTGGGCTGGTCCTGGAGGCTGGGGAAGGCTCGGACGAGGGCTCTGTCTCAGAAGCAGAAACGGGGCCAGGGCAATCCGGCAGTCGTCAACTGCCTTTGGAGTCGGGCAGCAGTGAGGTGGGGGAGCAGCTGGAGCCTGTTCCCAGCCTGCGCATGTGCAGAGCTGCCAGAAGAAGGAAACGGTTACGAACTCAGGATCGACGTGGGAGTAAGGCCACCGGGGAACAGTGAATGGCCCCTCTCCTAGGGATGAAAAGAGGACCAAAAGGGGAGGGGGCTTTTGCAGGAAACAATGGTTCGTTGCAGCCGTGTGAAAATCTGTCTGTGCATCTCAGGGAATCTGTGCTGAGCCCTTCCTTGTCAGCACTGCGTTTGGAAATATTTACTTGGCAGCTCTCCAGGCTAGATAAGGTCTGTGCTCCTAATCACACCCTTGAAAGACTGTTTGCCAGGCCTTGGGCTGAAGGTGAATGCAAGAGAAAAGCGGCTTTTCTTATTGGGTTGTTTGGGGCTCACAGTTGGACCCATGACTTTACTCAAGGGCTCCCCTCCCTTCCCGTTGCCTGGAGCTGATGGGCACCTCTCCCTCCTTTCTCCCCTGCAGGTGCCCAGCGATTGCTTCATGTGTGACACCACCCAGAAGGGCTTCACCGAGAAGTTTCTATGGAAGGCAGCGGAAGATTTTGTCGACATTGATGGCCAGGACGAGGCTGAGAAGCAATGCTTTAAAGTATGGATCCTCCCTGCTCAGTGGTTGGGGGGAGGGGAGGAGTCGGTCCTTTTTCTCTGTGCTCACTTACCGATCTCACTTGGAGGTCCTTGCTAGATCTTGGTGTCGGTAGGATATGGAGCAAGACATGGACCCAAGCGGCCTTGATAAGAGTCTCGTAGACTTGCTGGCAGGCTGTACGGGCAGCCTGAAAAAATATTAGGAGATGATACCTTTGCAGGACAGCATAGGTATGAAGGGAATCCATGCTGATGGCGATGGAAAGAATTTAAGGGAAGTGGGTATGCAAAGAGGAAGCAGGAGGAAGTGTGGTGTCAGGCCTGTCCCAGTCTGGCCCCTTAGGAAAGAAAGACCCTCGACTCCCATTTGGTTGCAGGGATAAGTTTACTAAAAGATGCTGGCTGCGGTAGGGCCAGGCTGGAAGTGACTTTCCCATGCAAAGAAGATACAAAAAGGTCCCACCCTGTTCTGACCCAAACCCTTTTCCAATAAAACAAACACGAACCAAAGGGAACAGAAACCTTTTAATGATTCTTACAAATCCCCGGTTAAAAGGCTGCTGCAAACTAATTAACTTTGATGAGCACACGCCTCACCGAAACTGCGCGAGGCTGTCAAGAATAACAGCTAAGGTTACCTAGAGATATTTTACAACACAGGAGTCTTCAAATACCAACTGAAGATACTGTAATGTCCATGAGGCTGAGTTTCAAAACGTCTTTGCTTCCTGCAAAAAACGTCCGATTCACAGCTGGCTTTTATCTTCTTGAAGGAGGGATTATTCCCTTGCAGCCTGACTCCCGAGGCGCCTGTGCTGCTGCAGCTGCTGTTTCCTGCGAGCAGCCCTGCGCGTGTGCGCACTGGGCACAGGCTCCTTGGGAACCTCCTCCTCGCTGCTGCCAGCCCCCACAATCTCCAAAGGCAGCAGCCCACTCCCTGATGGTCCTGGCCCCTCATCTGAGTCCTCGCTCTCCTCAGCCGTCCCCACCTGCTGCCGGTTAACCACAACGGGATAGCAGGAGGAAGCGTGGTGTCAGGCCTGTCCCGGTCTGGCCCCTTAGGAAAGAAAGACCCTCGACTCCCCATTTGGTTGCAGGGATAGGTTTTACTAAAAGATGCTGGCTGCGGTAGGGCCAGGCTGGAAGTGACTTTCCCATGCAAAGAAGACACAAAAAGGTGCCACCCTGATCCCAGGTCTTCCCTTTTCCAGCCTGTCTTCAGCCAATGGAGCGTTGCCGAGGTGTTTTTCGAGAGCGTTCGAGTCGGACCACATACTTTCTCGGGGTGGACGTCCTCACTCTTGGATGTGCAGGCCAAGGACGAGGGGAAAGGATGCGGTTGTGACATTTCCTTGCAAGCCTCTTCTCCAAGTCGTGGGAAGAAAGGAGAAAGCCACACACACACACACACACCGTGGTCCTGAAGCTTCTTCTTCTTCTTCTTCTCAGCCCCATTGTGAAAAAGAACATCAAATTATCGTATCAATTCCCCTTCCTTTTGTTCCTTGGCACACGCATGACGTGTCCCGAGCTGGCAACCTGTCTCTTTAAATGCCAGCTGTGTGGGCTGCTGCTTCGAATCCTCCTCCCCTCTTTTCAAGAAGGAGCCAAGCTCTCTGTAATTAAGGGGCTGGGGCTGAACCAGGGGGGGGCTGGCAAGCTTCCTTCCTGGGGCATCTGCCTTTCCTGGCCCACCCAGCAGTTTCCGAGTTAGAGACAGTGCCACCTCCTGGGTACCAAAAGGCAGAGAGGCATCGCGTGAAGGAGGCGGCACAGAATTTCTACGGCTCCTTGTTGCCTTCTTCTTGAAACCTAGAATAGAATATCAAAGTTGGAAGGGACTTTGGAGGTCTTCTAGCCCAACCCCCTGCCCAGTCAGAAAACCCGCTACCAAATCAGACAAATGCTTTTCCAACATCTTTTTAAAAACTTCCAGTGTTGGAGCATTCACAGCTTCCGGAGGCAAGTAGTTCCACTGATCAATTGTTCTCACTGTCAGGAAATTTCTCCTTAGTTCTAAGTTGCTTCTCTCCTGGATTAGTTTTCACCCGTTGCTTCCTGCCTTCGGGTGGCTTTGGAGAATAATATTAATATATTAATATGTGCACAAGATCTATGTACCCAGTCGACACGCTGTATAACTGAAAGATGGTTTTGTTTTGTTCTTATATAAAAATGAAAACTTTAAAAAAAGACTTGTGGACTGGCTGAGGAATTCTGGGAGTTGAAAGTCCACAAGTCTTAAAGTTGCCAAGGTCAGAGACCCCCTGGTTTAGGTGACCCTTCTGAAGGTCTCTTCCAACTCTATCATTCATGGCTGGCTGAAGAACTCTGGGAATTGAAGTCCACAAGTCTTAAAGTGGCCAAGGTTGGAGAGCCCTGGAATAGAGGTCAGTTTTCACCCCTCTTCAGCTGGGATAATCCCAAGTAAAAGTCACCTGTGAGATGGTCAACTATTTCCCCATTTGGGATAATAAATTATTATCAATAATTATTTAATTAATATTAAATATTGATATTAATATTAAAGTGCAATATTAATGCAATATCAGGGGTTTTCAATTCAATTACATAGAATGTGCAGGATGTGTGGTTTTTGTTTATTTTCATAGTCATAAGGTACTCTGAAGATGGTATTTAGTTTTGTTACAGTTAGGTACAATGCCAATAAACTAAACTATAAACTAAACTAAACTAGAAACTAAGCTAAATAAAGATGAATTCTTTTCCTTCTATGATTCAGGTCCATAGTTCAATCCTTTTTTTCCTCACTCCTTTAGGTAAGTCAATCGGAAAGTTGTTCCAACCTTTTTGTCTTCCTCTGTGGCCTCCTGGGCCCTCTGCTGAAGACCTTGGAGAGAGCCATCGTCTTCCTTCAAGAACAGGATTTCCCTCAGCCAGGTGGGCCTCACACCTTGGGTTCCTCGGATTGGGACGAGGGCAGCCATAATTTTCCCCAGAAAAGAGGTTGGGACTGGTGGGGCCTGAGGGCAGCATTTGGGGAAAGGTTTCGAAGTTTGGGTGTGGAGTTGACTTCTGAAGCGTTGGGTCGCTCTCTGCGTACCTGAAGGACAGGTAGCTGTTGCCAGAGCAACAGCTGTGGAAGGCCTTTGTGATAAGGGGACATCAGAGCCTTCCATAGGCCCAAGGTCTTGTTTGCCTCTGATCCACAGCCAGTTTTTTTGGGGAGGAATGGGCAGGTAAGTAAAAAAGTTCCAGATTGGATGAGAGCCCAGCAAAGTCTCCTTAGAATGACAGGTCTAATTCGCAAGATTCATTTTTCTCGCCATATACGTGTATGCATCCAAACTAGATGTTGTTTCTCTGCGTCATATAATATAGCCGTAGCCCTTTGACTTATATACCACTTCACAGTGCTTTTACAGCCCTCTCTGAGTAGTTTACAGAGTAAACCTCTTGCCCACCAGTCAGTCTGGAAAGTCAAGTCGACTTTGGGCTGGTCAGGTTCGAACTGCTGGCAGTGGGCAGAGTTAGCCTGCAATACTGCATTCTAACCACTGTGGCACCAGGAAGGAGAAGGAGAAAGGGAATAAGAAGAAGGGAGGGCGGGAGGGAGGGAGGGAGGGAGGGAAGGAAGGAAGGAAGGAAGGAAGGAAGGAAGGAAGGAAGGAAGGAAGGAAGGAAGGAAGGAAGGAAGGAAGGAAGGAAGGAAGGGCAATATCACTTGGACTTACATACAACTTCACAGTGCTTTTACAGCCGCCTCTAAGCGGTTTACAGTCAGCCTCTTCTCCCACCCCCCCAACAATCTGGGTCCTCATTTTACTGACCTTGGAAGGACGGAAGGCTGAGTCAACCTTGAGCCTGGTGAGACTTGCAGGCAGCTGGCAGTCGGCAGAAGTAACCTGCAGTACTGCACTCTAACCACTGCGCCACCGCAGCGAATATATGTGGCTATATTCTTTCTTTCTTTTCTCTTTCTTTCCTTCCTTCCTTTGTTCTTTCTTTCTCTCTCCCTCTATTCATTCATTCATCCGTCCGTCCATCCGTTCTGTCATGGCTATGTAGTGTATATTGTAAGTGGTGACCCTTTGAGAGTTGAATGCCACGAAATTTCCACTTTAAGGTATGCCGATTGGTGTATGTTCAAAGTGACAAATAAAAGTGTTATCTTTCTGTTCTATTCTATTTGGGGGTCTTTTCTTTAAAAAAAGGGGGGGGGGTCTTCTGACATCTCTTCCTCCATTGTTTGAAACCTCGGAGAATTAGGTATGAATTATGAATTCCTCCTGCAGTATTATTTTTTTTCTCCTTTTCCCTGTAGAATCTCAGTTCATGGAGAAGCTGGAGCGGGAATTGGTGAGGTTGGCACGAGAGGACGGTTCTTTTGGTGAGTCTGGACGCCCAGATCATCAAAACACAGCACACAGAGACTTAAGACATTTAACATGCCACAGTTACACACAACAGTTATGTACAGAAATATACGTGGTAGGCAAAATACTTTCTAAGTAAGCAAACTTTCTTCTTCTTCTTAACTCTTCTTAACAGAAGGCGAACTCGGTAATGAATATCGGACACAAGGAGAGAAAACGGGCCCTCTAATGGCTGCTTTTATATACACGCCTCTTAAAGGGATAGAACCCATTTCCCCCAGTCTTAAAGGGAAATACCCACGCTATGCTGAATCATTCTCAATTGCATCAGCCAGTCTTACAGCAAATGGCAGCTGTTACTGCTGCTGGTCAGCTGTTAAAGCTTAAAACCTCAACAGTCGTAAGATAGAAAGTGGAGTAACTTCTGACCGGAGTATATTAGCTTGGTTAAAAATAGGATCAGGGATCAGGCAGGAACCTAAGCACGAGAATAGAAATATCTCTTGAAAGTTGTGACTCCCTTTGGGTGGACAGTCTCCCAGTTCAGTATAAGATCTTCCATTCTGAGAATTAAAGATGCATCCAAACTATTCCCTGCCCTTTCTTTTGCTTCCTTCTCAGAATGTGCCAACGGGAGCTTGGTGGCCACGTCTGTTCGCATCTGCAAAGAATTAGGGGTAAGAGCTGGAGATTCTCCAAGGTGGCAAAGCGAAAAACCTTGACAGCGAAGCTTCAGAAGTCCTGCATGGAGCTTTTCAGAAATTCAATGGGGGGGGTTTTTTCCCTCTTAAAAAAACAGCACTGGGAGGACGGAGTGATTAGGTTTCAGGATGAGGCATGTGTTTAAAGGGGGTGGCTTTTTAATTCCCTCCATCCACTGATATCTCATCACCAAGGACATGAGGTGGACTCAGCCTTCCGTCCTTCCGAGGCGGGTCAAATGAGGACCCAGATTGTTGGGGGCAAGAAGCTAACTCTGTAAACTGCCTAGAGGGGGCTGGAAAGCACTGTGAAGCGGCATATAAGTCCAAGTGCTATTGCTATTCCTTCCTTCCTTCCTTCCTTCCTTCCTTCCTTCCTTCCTTCCTTCCTTCCTTCCTTCCTTCCTTCTCTCCCTCCCTTCCTTCCTCCCTCCCTCCCTTCCTTCCTTCCTTCCTTCCTTCCTTCCTTCCTTCCTTCTTGCCATAGTGGTGCAGTGGTTAGAATGCAGTATTGCAGGCTGACTCTGCCCACTGCCAGGAGTTCAGTCCTGACCAGTTCAAGGTTGACTCAGCCTTCCGTCCTTCCGAGGTGGGTCAAATGAGGACCTGGATTGTTGGGAGCAATTTGCTGACTCTGTAAACCGCTTAGAGAGGACTATAAAGCCACTGGGAAGCAGGATATAAGTGCTATTGCTTGGGAGGGGAAGGAGGGAGGGAGGAAAGGAAGGAGGGAGGGAGGAAGACAAGAAGAAGGAAGGAAGGAAGCCATGTTGGTGCAGTGGTTAGAGTGCTGTATTGCAAGCTAATTCTGCCCAGGTCAGCCAGTTCAATCCTGACCGGCTGAAGAGGGGGCTGGAAAGGTATATAAGTGTTAGTGCTATTGCTATCCCTTCCTTCTCTCCCTACCTGGATTAATTAATTGGATTAATGAATGGATTAATTGGTGGACCCACACATATACAAAGCTTCCCTAATCAGCATTAATGGATTAGTTAATGCCAATTAGGCAAGCCTTGTATATGTATCAGTCCACCAGCCATCTGCTCTCTGGGGAAAAAACAGATTCTCACCTGATTTCTCTTTCAGGTGTTCAAGGAAGTGACGGAAGACAAAGGGCCTCTCCTTCATCTGTCTGACACTTTCACTGCCCAAGAAAACCAAAAAAAGCTGGAGAAATTCATTCACCAGTTTATCTACTAGATCCTTTTGGCAGGATCTTCCTTGGACAGGCAGGCGGCTTCAGAAACCTGCCAGAGAGAGGCAGGTTCTTCCTCACCTGTCTGTTTGGGCCGTCGTTCTTGTTTTGTTGGTTCTACTTTTGAAATGTTGTTTTCCGGGAAGGGGGAATTTTGAGCAAGGCAACAAGGGCCAGTTAGGTGAATAAAATCAATTTAATCCTGGAGCGTGATGAGTAAATAGTGCGGTTTGTAGCGTATTTGTATTAAAAGACCATTTACCAAAAAAATTCCATTTATGAAACAAGGAACAGTCAGCAGGAAGGAAAGCGTTTTTTTTCTTCCTTCTTTTGAAACGCTGCAAGGCATGGAGTCAAGGTTTTCGTAAAGAGTTTCCGTGCACTGCGGGTTTTTTTTTCGCAGCAAGCCAGCCCGGGAAATGACGTTTCCAAGGACAGAAACTGGCAGCTGAAATACTTCCATTTGTGATGGAAAAAATCTGCTTTGGAACATTACGCGGTGCAGGTAATCCTCAACTTAATCGAGCCCCCAAATTCATGTTGCGAAGTGAGACATGTGTTAAGTTTTGCCCCGTTTTACGACTTTCCTTGCCATCTTCTTGAAGTGAATCGCTGCCCTCGTTGGCAACCTTTTTGTTAAATGAATCTGGCTTCCTCCCCAGTGACTTTGCTTCTCAGAAGGGGACACTGCCACTGCCACAAATATGACCGTCATAAATGCAAGTCGGTGGTCAAGCATCCAATGTAAATCACATCTGAATTTTGATCACACGATCACGGGGGTGGCTGCGAGGGTAGTGGTTCAGTGTGAAAAACATACGTCACTTTTCAGTGTCGTCGTAACTTCAAATGGTCCATTAAACAAAATGTTGTAAGTCAACGACTGTTCTGACCCAGGCTTCGTAAACCATGATTATTCACAAACTTGTTTTAAAAGCAAAACCTATTTTATTGCAACGCTGGGAGTTGTTTTCATTCCCAGCCGGAATTAATCTCAAATAGTTCCCCAAGATAAGCACACACCTTTCAGTTCTGTGGATTGCTGCCAAAACCAGAAGTATCCAATTAACTAGAAAAGAAACCAACCGAAGTACACAGAGCTTCAAGGAGGACTCTGAACCTTTCAATCGAACGACTTTGCTTCCTGCAAAGAGTTTGTCATTGAGGTCTGACTTTTATCCCTTAGGGGAGGGGCAATCACCTCCCAGCCTTACTCCCGAGTCGCCCCTTTTGTTTCAGCTGCTCTCGCCTTCTAGCAGCTCTGTGCACACGCGCACTGGGAACAGGCTCCCCTCGTTCCTCTTCCTTGCTGCTGCCAGACTTATGATCTACAAACACATTGCAATATTTACTGTGAGAAATTAACGCATCTGGATAAATGGTTGGAAAGTTGGAATATGATTATATATACTCTGCTTTGGAGTGTAACCCAAAATAGGTACCGACAGATTCAGGGGACGCAGACAGAGGTATGTTGTCTAGCAAAGACATCTGGATTAGAGGTGGTAACCTGCCTGGCGCAGCATCGGCCTGGTGGCCCTGATAGGTTGCCTAAACGGGGATAGAATCAAGATCATGTGAAGTGTGTTAATACTACATTATAAGGCCTTAGTAAAGCCACACTTGGACCATTTTCATCCAGTTTTGGTTGCCACGTTGTAAAAAAGATCCCGAGACTCTAGAAAGAGGGCAGAGAAGAGCAACGAAGAGGATTAGGGGACTGGAGGCTAAAACGTATTAAGAACGGTTGCTGGAATTGGGTTTGTAATGAAAAAGGAGAATTAGGAGTGAACATGACAGCAGCCTTCCAATATTTGAGGGGCTGCCCCAAAGAAAAGGGAGTCAAGCTATTCTCCCAAAGCACCAGAAGCCAAGATAAGAGACCATGGATGGAAACTATTCAAGGAGAAATTCCCCGATAGTTAGAACCATCAACCACTTGCCTTCAGAAGCTGTGAACGCTCCCAACACTGGAAGTTTTTAAAAAGATGTTGGATACCCATTTGTCTGAAGTGGTGTAGGGTTTCCTGCCTAGGCAGCGGGTTGGACTAGAAGTCCCTTCCAACTCTCGTTATTCTATTCTAAATATGCCCCACCCGAGTGGCATTGACCATTAGGGCCTGCTGTACACAGACCTGGTAAAAACTAAGGCTAGTAACCTTGCTGGTTTCTCCTCTGTACAGTATTCACTAAAAAAGAGGCAATGAATATTCATTAAAGTGTACAAAACATATCTGTTGGGGAAAAAAAAAAAGAGTTTAATTTAGTTTCTAGGTTGATCCAACAGCACAAAACAGACAATTATTTCTATTTAAAGGTATCTCGGGATGCTTTTGTGAATATGTTTTCGCTTCTTTTTACGCAGCTTACAGAAGTCATACTGACGGTGCATTAAAAAATAATAATAATAATAATAACGTAGCAGTGTGTATTAAGCAATCACTCAGTTTCTTTGTTAAAACCTGAGCACTAAAATCTTCTCAGGAGCCCTGGCATCAAAATTACACAGAGCAACTATCACTTTGAAGGTTGATCCTCTGCTTTCTCAAAGGGCAGGCCTGGAGCCTCAGGGAAGATTACTCGTTAATTGCTATTTTAGACATAAAAGAGAAGTTTTTGACAGTGGGACCTTCTCTGGGAGAGCAAAAGGGGGCTTGACGGGGTGCAATTTAAGTTTTAGGGCGAGAAACAGATCGCCTTGTGCTTTG